TCCTACTGTGAATCTCCAACCTTATAAGGTGGGTAGCTCTAACCAGTTCCTACTGATGTTACGTTGAGCTGAGACATCTGTTTTGCCATCTTATCTTCAACAGGACATCTATTCCACTGTATCTTCACTTGAGAACAAGTTTCTTGGCCTCCACATTTCATTCTTGAGCGTATATTTATGCAAGCCTTCTGTTCTTCAACTTGTATCCGCTCAAGTTATGCGAAAGGCTGTTCTCTCAACATAGAAAATCCGTTCTCATGATTCAGGATATGGCTTTATTCTGTTCGGGTGCATGTTAGGTGGAAGGATCCCTTATGCATCCAGTGCCTTAAAGAATGCCTGCTTCTTAATACTACATTGGTGTTAAGGAGTTTTATTTGGGCTGGAGTTCATTTGGCAACGGTTTTGGCAAGACATATAGGACACTGCTTCTGAACCTCAGCAGATTCTGAGATTGCAGGACTTCTAGCCAGCACCAAGGGGATTCCCAGGGAAAACTTTCAGTCCTCAGACTAAAGTGCTTGAGGTAAGGCCCCTGGGAACGTAAAGGCATTCTTCATCATTACATAACTTGGGTTGTGGGTTTAAGTCCCGTGGGAACTGTCTGCTTGTACACAGGCAAAAGCCATGCAGGGTTGGTCCATAAACATACGTTAGGGTTCAAATCCCCACTGGAAAAGTTATTTCAGGCAAAAGCCTGGATAGCACCAAGGTCTGAATATAGGTTCAAGTTCCCTCACCAACTTGATAAAGGGGTTCAGCTTAAATAAGGCTTTGAGTCCCACCAAAGATTGTGGCTTTAAGTCCCATCACGGTGGCCATTTGTTGCTAAGGTTGTGGGAATATTGTAATATGAGCAGAGGACAGTCCTCTGTGGACAGTGAAGGTGGCAGAGGGGTTTGAGTCCCCCACATCTTCTGGTGTTGTCGGTATTCTGTTATTGCTGTTATTCTGTTATAGTTTGGGGTGGGTTAAAGACCCATGGTTTGGAATGTTCAAATACTTGCCCTTGGGACTCCTGGACCCTGGAGGGAAGAGAGAGAGTCCGGGAAATGGAGAGCTTCCCCCTGTTTGAGAAGGGGGTGGTCCAGGAGCATCTTGGTGGGATCAATGTGCACAAATTCATGGCCCCTAATGGGATGCATCCCATGTGCTGAGGGAGCTGGCAGAGGTGATTGCTAAACCATTCTCTATCATCTTTGACAGGTCCTGGAGAACAGGAGAGGTGACTGAAGACTGGAGGAGAGCCAATGTTACTCAACAGTCTTCAAGAAGGGCAAGGAGGAGGATCCAGGCAACTACAGGTCAGTCAGTCTCACGCTGTCCCTGGAAAGGAAACAACTTGTTTGGAGATGGCATAAAGAACAAGCGGAAAAGAAGACCGTCATCAGGAATAGCCAGCATGGATTCACCAAGGGGAAATCATGCTCAACAAACCTCATAGCCTTCTGTGATGGCATCACTGGCTGAGTAAATGAGGGGAGAGCAGTGGATGTCATCTACCTTGACTTCAGCAAAGCTTCTGATACTGTCTCCCATGACATCTTGATAACGAAGCTGAGAAAGTGTGGGATAGATGAGTGGACAGCAAGGTGAATCAGGTACTGGCTGACTGGCCAAGCTCAGAGGGTGACCTCCTCTCAGAGGAGAACTGTGACTAGTGGTGCTCCCCAGGGATAGGTGCTGGGTTCAGTCTTGTTCAATATCCTTATCAGTGACCTTGATGAGGGTATAGTGTCAACCCTCAGCAAGTTCAATGACAATGCAGAGCTGGGAGGAGTGGCTGATGCACCTGAAGGCTGTGCTGCCATTCAGCAAGACCTGGACAGGCTGGAGAGCTGGGCAGAGAAGAAGCAGATGAGGTTTAACAAAAGCAAGCATGAAGTCTTGCACTGTGGAAGGAATAACTGCATGCATCAGTAAAGGTTGGAGGGATGACCTGCTGGAGAGGAGCTCTGCAGAGAGGGATCTGGGCGTCCTGGTGCACCACAGGCTTGCCATGAACCAGCAGTGTGCCCTTGTGGCCAAGAGGACTAATGGCATCCTGGGGTTCATTAAAAAGCATGGCCAGCAAGTCAAGGGAGGTGACCCTCCCCCTCTACTCTGCCCTGGTGAGGCCTCACCTGGAGCACTGTGTCCACTTCTGGGCTCCCCAGTACAAAAAAGACAGGGATCTTCTGGAAAGAGTCCAGTGGATGGCCACAAAGGGCCTGGAGCACCTCTCTTATGAGGAAAGGTTGAGCAACCTGAGTCTGTTCAGCCTTGAGAAAGGAAGACTCACGGATCTGGTGTCTATAAATATTTAAAGTGCAGGAGGCAAAGGGATGAGGCCAGACTCCTTTCAGCGGTGTGTGGTGATGAAGGGAAAAGGCCACAAGCTGGAGCAGAGGAAGTTCTGCACAAATGTGCATAAGAACTTCTACACGGTAAGGGTGACAGAGCCCTGGAACAGGCTGCCCAGAGGGGTTGTGGATTCTCCTCTGGAGATGTTCAAGACACACCTGGATGCCTACCTGTGCAACTTGGTCTAGGGAGCCTGCTTTGGCAGATGATCTCTAGAGGTCCCTTCCAGCCCCTGCAATTCTGTGTTATGTAAAGCCCTGAAGAGAGGATGTAAAGAAGACAGACCCAGGCTCTTGTCAGTGGTGCCCAGAGATGAGACAAGAGGCAATGGGCACAAAACTGAAACATGAGAGATTCTCGATGACCACTGGAAAGCACTTCTTCATTGTGTGGATGATTGAGCACTTTAAGAAGTTGCCCAGAGAGGTGATGGAGTCTCCCTCTTTGGCTGTCTTCAAAAGCTGTACATACATGGTCCTGGGTTACCTGTTCTAGGCAACCCTGCTCAAGCAACAGGGTTGGACAAGGTGACTTCCAGAGGTCCCTTCCAAAACCTTAATCATTCTGTGATTTCATGACTGTGAAAATAGATGACTAACTTTCTAATTCTCTAATCTATTATAAACATGGTGATCTGAGGGATGTCCTGAAATTTAAACAGAATAACAAAATTCAGAACCATATCCTTAGGAAGCAGAACTAAAACATACAAGTGCAATACTTGTTAGTGTAAAAACTCCGATTCAGCTGCAGAACTGTTGTAATACATCAGAATTAAGGGACAAACTTCCAGTAAGCACACTTGGCGTTATAAGCAAAAAGAGGCATAGAAGAGGCTTTGATAAAAATCTTTTGGTACAGAGAAGGGCTTTTCTCACTAAGAATGAAAAAAAAAAAAAAATCAATCTCAGCAAAAAAGAAAACATCAGCAAAAGAATACATGCATCTACAAGAAGATGGGGGAATCTCTGGAAAAGTTTCTGACAGGGAATCTAAGAAGCTTGTGATGCAGCTTTCCATAGTAACAGAGCACAGAAGGATAGCAGCTTTGTTCCTATCCCTAATGCCTATCTTCACCATCTCACCAGGGCATAAACTAAGAATAATGGTCTTTTTTTGCAGATCATAAAACAATACATAGGAAACCTATTGTGTCTCTTCTTCAGATACTCAGAGTATGCAACAATGCAGTATTTTAAAACTATCATTAACTTCTCATGGCATACAGCCATGAAGATAAATTTAAGAGCAGTCTTGCCAAGAGAATTGTGTTTCTGCACTAGAAACTTCCAATACCAAGGAACAGACCCTTACCAAACTGACACCTTTCTTACAAAATGGCTGTGTAGGTTAAAATGCCTGCACGGTTGTTTTTTACAAGAAGAATGCTGAGCAGAACAGAATGGAGGCTAGGATGCCCCGAACAGGGTAGGAAATTAATCCAAAGGGTTTGAGCAACACCCACAGTGATTAAACACAAACAATACCAACTTCCACAAAAGAATGCACAAGTTCACTGAAAAGGAAAAGGCCGCTAAATAAATGTAAATGAACAATCTGTGCTTGCTAGAACAGCATAAAAGGTATAATCAATCAGGAATTGGGGCTTGGTAACCTTTAGATACTACCTGACACAGGTTTCTTCTTTCTTAAACATGGCTTTCGTAAGTAGTGAGGGATAAGGCAAAAAATACAGAGCAGAATAAGGAAATCCTGGCATGCAATAAAACAAGCATGACAGCTTCAAGAAATATCAACCTCCTGCACCCATAGAAAAGTACAAAGTGATCTTAAAAACAATAGGTTGGTGATAGACCTTATATGGAAAAAACTGATAAGCAAACGTGTTGTGTATATTGCGAGCCTGGAGTACCTAGCCAATAGGGGAATAGGGGAGTCATTAACTGTGATGGAAGAAAAGGGTGCATGATGGTGTTTCACTGATTCAGTGCGTGTTTTCGCCCCGCCACATGGGGGCGCTACTGCAATACAGAATAATAACATCCTGCTTCACCGGTATCTTTGCCTGATGGAAAATTGTGGATTCCAAGCATTTCCGACAATGCCAGATTGGTATTTCCCCACTCAAGATCAACAATTCCTAATTAGGAGCCCAAATCTATAACCCTTCCATAAAGCTTCAATTCTGGATTACTCATCTGTTTACTTCCTACCAGCCTTGCGCTTTAACCCAAACACAGCATGGACAACAGAAGCATAACTCAGCAGTTCATCTCCAATACAAACATCAGAATAACTAGGAGGTGTACGTATCTTGAAGGTTTTCTGCTTTCAAGATTTTCTGCCATTGGAGTCAGAAACTTAATCAAAGTGCTTCTCAACTATTTAATTAAAAAGCAAACAAACGTGCTTAACAGCTGCCTGGTGCTCAGTGCTACATGACCTCAAATAAACACGTGCAGTAAACGCCTTCCTGGTTGTACCACACCATAACACCCAAAACTCTCTTCTTTTCTGAAAGAGTAAAAACGTTCCATTTGAATATCCACAGGCTGAATGTCCCACATATTCCAAAAAAATATTCCTAACAAAGAAATAACCACCCTACCTTGTCCTTTCAGGAAGCAGACAAGCAGCACCATTAAGAGGAACCTGAGATTTCTATAGATCCAGTGACTCAACAAGCACAGGTGTCAACTGCTTCAAAACAACAATATAAAGCATTTATTTGCCTGAATTGTTGGATTACATCTTAAACTTTATTAAAAAAAGAGTAGTGACCCCTTTCCTCCCACCCAACCCTATCTTACAGAAAATCACAAATGTATTTACAAACCAAACAGGTAACACCAAGGTAAGGTGCTATCCCACTTTGTGGAAAAGGCCTCAGCGTGGAAAATGGCTATGATTCCAAAACTTTCAGGCAAGTGCTGGAATAAAATATTGAAGTGAAACATCTTCATGGAGCAAGACAAAGTGAACAATTCTTTTACTCACGATATCTGTTAAAGAGAAAAAAAAAACAGAAAATCCAGTTTGAAGCATGGCAAATACTTTAGAGAATGCCACCATAAGAACACAACATCCCTTCTGATACAGGATGTCATTTTAAAGTATATTTTAAATAAATACTTTAAGTAAAGAGAATGACCAGACATACAACCCTGAAATATTGAAGTACTGAGGGCCTTTTAAGGATTACTGAAGCCTATGAATGCTGATACCAAAACGGAATTACATAACGCACAGGCACAAAATAAAATACCCAGAACTTAATCTTCCCTGAGAAACCCCTAGTGTTTGCACTAAACCATAGATGTAAGATATAAGTGCATAGATGCTCTTATAAAGTCAGAAGTTCAGGAGGAAAGCACGCAGAGTTATCAAAATGACATATAAACCCCTGTACAACTTCTGCTTAAGGGGAACACAGTTTTTCAATGGTCAGAAACGCCTGCTATGTAAAAAGTATTTTGGTATCAGAATCAATTTGGTTCTGGATTTAAGAAAGCAGATGAGAGAAAAAAGAAAAAGTCAGTAAATCTATTTCTCTAGCATAAACTACAGCTTTCCAAAAATAATTCAGCTCTGAAGTTCATCAGCTTAACTTCAAAACAAAGGCAATAAAAAAACCTCATGATTAGTCACCTGCAATGTCAATGACAAAATAATTATTTTTGAGGGGAGAAATGAAGAATTTTCCCACTCACCTATATATAAAAGCATTTGTAAGTAAAGATGGTAGGGCAACAGAGATAGTGAAGGATCTAGACAGCAAGACACATGAGGAACAGCTGAGGGTACTTGCTTTGTTCAACCAAGAGATGGCTGAGGGGAGGCCTCATGGCAATCTACAGCTTCCTCATGATCTCTTTGGTGTCAGCAATAGGACCTAAGCATCATAGCAATAGGAGCAGCATCATAGGAGGGTCAGGTTGGGTTAGGAAAAGGTTCTTTGCAGGTGGTTGAGCACAAGTACTGGCTCCTCAGAGTAGCGGTCACGACACCAAGCCTGCTGTAATTCAAGAAGTGTTCGGACAACACTCTCAGACATACAGTTTAATTTTTTAAGTAGTTTTGTGTGGAGCCAGGAGTAGATTATTCTAGTGGGTCCCTCTCAACTCAGGATACTCCATGATTCTATTATTCAGTCTGAGTATTGATACTTTTTAAAAGGTCCTGGCTAAATGCTTTTAATATTATTTCTTTCTTTCTGAAGAACGTGATGCTCACTGACTAAAACCAGAAACATTAAAAGTTCTCAGGTGCAGTAAAAACAGCAAAGTTTCAAAGTGACAAAGCAGAAGATTTATTATTCACCTAAGACTACAAGCACAGCAAACATCCCTTCCATAAACAGCAAGTTTGTAATTGGGGTGGTTCAACTTACTGCACAAGGCTTTTGTGGGATTGACCTGCTGTCCTACAAGCAGCTGCTGCAACTTCTTGATGTCTATGCGTGCTTCAGCCATGCTCTGCAGATCTCTGTCTTGAGCAGAACTTTGACATCCATCCTCTGATGCTGAAAGAACACAACACTTAGTAAAAAAAAATCAGAACAGATTTCAAAACTTAGAAGGATGTGCCTGATAATTACACAACAGTTGATATTCAAAGGGGCTGCTTATCAGCAACAGCACTGCAAGAAAGTGGAAGCCCACTATTCCAGCAAGTTGTCAGAATTACTGGATGAGATTTGCCCAGCAAATATGAGAACTGGACACTTTCTTTTTAAGGTTTCATTTGAAGACTCCAAAAGATTTGATGGTATTTTGTAAGTACTAACAGAAGGTAGGTACTGTTGACAGTACTTAAGTAATGAGATCAGACACAGGAGGAAAGAAACAAGAAAACTTACCCCAGGGAGGATTTCCCAAATCTTTAAAATGTGTTGTTACAGATACTACATCAGTTTCTATTTTTAAGTTCATTTCTCCACTCAAATTTGCTTCAATCACCTGCAATACAATCAATTTTAAGCAAGTCACTTTTGCTGTGCAGAACTATGTGATGCTCTATTCAAGCTTCCAGAAGTGCCTTCACAGCTCAATTGTACATTTTCAATACAGTTCAAATATTTGAATGCTGAGCTACAGAATACATTTCTTATCATGGCTACGTGAATGATCCTAGACCAACTTCCCTCAAACTATGAAGAGAATCATTTAATTACTCCTCATTGCTTGCAGAGTAAGTATTGGCTTTGGAAAGTCCACATGCTAAGATAAAGTCCTTTGAAACAAGAGATTGAAGTTGAAAAAGTGGAACATTTGCTGCATTATCTTCTAGCTTTTAAACAAACAGAAAGACATATACACACTCAATGCAACACATACAGAAAATTGGATGCACTAGGAGCTAATCTGCAGTTGCTTTCCAAGACTTAAAAACAAGCATTAGTTGCACCAGAGCAGTAACTCCAAGCAGGACTTGGGAAAGCAAAGACCCCTGGAAATGTGCTGAAAGTCTTCGAATTCCATCCTGAAAAATGGTATCTTACCAAAAGAAGGCAATATATTATCTTACACAAATCAGAGGACTACTCATGCACATCCACACACATGATTTCTGTGATCAGAAGAATTCTCAGTACTTCTACAGAGGCTCAGCTGACAACCAAAAATTCCTACAGAAGGGGAGATGCACACAGAATGACGAATTACTGTTTGAAAGACCTTCTGAAGCAGTTTTTGCAGCACTCATCTTGGCCAAATTTACTTCCAAAGTGCATCTAACATAAATAATTGTGACACTTCATATTTTTATTTGCTAATAACAGAAAAGCATGTACAAGGTGAGAGTACCCTGTCTCTTTCCTTACAGCTATCAAAAGTATTTCCCAAAGTTTTACTTAGTTTTGACTATAAATGCACTTCGGAGAAGGAGGTTAGGAACTCAGGAAGGAGGTTATGACTTGTGTTGATATGCTACCCTCTTCTGAGTGTTGCTACACACCAAAGATCAATCCTATCATACAGCTATCCTGTGAGATGAGAGATCAACTCTGGAAACAAAGCAGTTACACACTGTGCTTTTGTTGCATGTAAGGACTTTCCTAGAGGACACTGGGGAAGAAAGTTAGATAGAGAGGAAAAATAAAATTCCAAAAGGCTTACTACAAAGGAGAAAATTCTAAAGTATGTTCTACAAATAGATGAGTGACACTGCCATTTTCAAAACTGACAGAAAGCCAGTATTTACCTCTCAACCCTTCCAAGTCCTGTAAGACAGAACTACCCAATTTCGGGACTCCACATTTGCAAAAAAAAAATCCAATTTATCAAAATTGTTATGTACAGTTCCAAAACCTTTCCAAAGCTCTGTAGCTGCTTACTAACTTCAATGCCAGTAAATTTTAGTGACTTTCAGTTTTGGAGAAACTAAATAAACAAACAAAAAATAAATAAATCCATTTTTAGACCTCCTGCACAAAGCTTCCTCCAATAAAAGGCTTACCAGCCTCGAGAAACTCACCATGTCAGAATCTAAAGCACAGGTTGACATCCATGAGCCATTAAATCATACCTCAAGTTCACTAAAAGGTCATTTATTAAAAAAAAAAAAAAAAAAAAAAACTCACTTAATAGGGCATTCTTTTTAATGGAATCACCTATAAAGAGTCCAGCACACTTCATGAAAGACTGCAATTTTTTTCCATCTGTAAAGGGTGACTTGTATGTATTATGCAGCAACATAATATCACACTCTTTCTGGAACTCAGTGCAAAAGAAGAGGATGTTTTATGAGGTCCTGGACAAGCTCTTCACCGTCAGTCCTAAAATAAATTCCATCATTCCCTTCATCACTTCTCTTCAGTGCCTACACAATCTTCAGGTACCTTTAACTCAAAATCCATCCCATCCAAAAAACAAAATATAACAGAGGCATCAGTTCAGGCAACAGGGAAAACAAGTGTTACAGTGTAGAGGTCTGTAGGACATAGGCTTAAGTGCCTTAACTTACAATGCAATTGCTGATATTCTTCATTCTCTCCACAATACTCTTCATTGTTTTCAGCGCTGGTAGGTAAATACTGACCTAGAAAGACAAAAAAAAAAAAAAAAAGACCAACCATAGTCATGACAGTGTTTTATCTGTAATGTTCAAGTTTCCCCTTCAAGTACATCCTTATTTTGGACACCTCAGTTACACACTGAGTGGAAGGAGCACAATATTTAATTAAATTCAGCAAACAATCCAAGAACAAAAGAACTCTCCCATTCCAGTAACAGGCCATCCCTCCAGCAATTGCTTCAGACACACTATCCCAAAGCCATGTTGAAAATAGAGGACAGATAAGATTCTCATGTGAACCTACATCTGTGTAACTGAGCAGTCAAAAGTAACTACAGCTGATCACTTTTGAAACCACATTGGTTTAAATCTGAAATAACAGAACGCGTAAGTTTCTACTGTGTCTTACATCTTCTGATTTGAAATAATCTTAGCTATGGAGGTAACAGAGAACTATATCCTCAAATAGGAACACAATTTGCACAAGGACCTTTTGTTGCAGTTCTGCTGAAAGTTAAAAAGGATATAAAAAGGATATTTAAAAAAGAAACAGGAGGAAAAACATACAAGTAACTCTGCCAGGTAGGCTAGAAATTCCAGGTACAGCAGATTATTTGGGCTACTTGGTACCTAAGCAGTTAAACCATATGAAGTAATCACAAACCTTATTGTTTTGGAGACACTCCTGTACAAAGCTATGCAAGTCCTTTGCTTCTCCACTGTCCCATCCCAAATAATGCAGCAGCAAATTACAACTATCTGCTCCATTTTTACTTATTTGGGGCTCTTGTCAAGATGTAACCTCTCCAAACCTCTAGCTTTCCCTTTTCTGCCCCTTCTCCTCTCCAAAACCCAGTATACCCCATGGCAGGATAAACCTTCTCACTCCACAGGAAATATAAAAACAGAGGCTTACATCAAAGTCTGGCACACTGGGCTCTCTGAAGTCATTCCATAGTCTTCTGGGAATAACCTTCACAGGAATGTCATGTGTCACAATCCTACTGCTGCTTGATAAGGATGGCTTGAGAGAGACAGAGAATGTTTTTTAAGGAACAGTTTCAATTCTGAATCCAAATTTTTCAGACCCAGACTGGGAAAAACTAGATCCAACTACCCCAGATACCCAGTTCCACTTCTCTGTTTTTCCATAGGTTCTCTATTAAGCTGATTTTGAGTTCCAAAAGTCATTAGTACCTATGAGCTAACATTACACGGTGAAAAAGTGTTAACAACAAAAATACTTTGATGTGCTACTTGAAATAGGATGACAAGCAAAAGCAAAACAAAGAGCCGAAGACTACACCAAAACCTCTTGCACCTAAGAGCTTCAATAAGAAGGCAACAGGTCACAGAAAATGTAGAGAATAAAGAAATGGAGCAAAATAGTTGGTGACTAAGATATCGCACAAAGATGTTTTGGCCAGATGGCTTTCATTCCTCCCCCACCCCTTTCTTGTCTTTTGGAAAATACAATTCTGGTATTATTTGTTATCAACCTTGATGGTTGGAAAGGCCAGTAAGGGGAAAAATGCCAAGATTTTTCTTTTTTTAGTTTTCTACAATTACACTAAAGACTGCCAAAGCTACAATTTGATCTACAGAAAAACACTTAGTTTTTAATAATTTTAACATAATAATGAAAAAAATATTATTGCACTTACTAGCTCCACAGCAACTCTGAGACAAGGAGAATGTTTGTTAGTCAACTTGATCTTCACTGCCTTTGCACTCTGGGCAGTTTTTAATGCTCTTGACAGGTTCTCAGGCACGAGCTCTAAATATATTTCATTGTGATCTACAGCTACTCCCTCCATCTGATATTCATCAAAGAAATTCCCCTGCAAGGTTTGAAATTTGAGAAAATAAAGCAAATTTAACAAAAAAAAAAAAAAAAAAGAGGGTTAAGTTTGACTTAACAGACCTTAGTTGGTTACAGGAGGTATCCTGTGCCCAGCACCACCTGCAGGAATCAACAGGTAAAGATGGAGACTCGCTGCTTCAGAGGTGAAACTATTAGCTTCAGATTCTCCCCCAACACCTCAAAATACACGGTGGAAGGGTGAGCTATGCTTTACTGTTTCTGGTTCTGGGCAGGCCCTTGCAGGCCAGCACAGGTGGAATCATTAATTAGAACAGACAACCGAGGAAAAGCAGCGTTTAGCCACAAACACCAGCCCTGCACTGCTAGGAGGCACTGGTGCAGAACAGAATGCCTCGAGTGGCGTGGGAGACACCTCAGTAAGGGCTGTGTTTATAAGAAACACCTTGTAAGAGACATCTGGCTGCAGGCACTACTTTGCCATCCCTGGCAGTGTTCAAGAGGCGTCTGGGTGAGGAGCTGCGAGATCCGGTTTAGTGCTTGTGGTAGCAGTGGCAGTGTGAAGACGGTTGGACTAGATGATCTTATAGGTCGTATCCAACCTTGTGACTCTATGATTCTGTCTCAATGCGGTGAGGGTACCGAAAGTCCCCGCCTTACCTGGCACAGCTCGCACCACATGCTGACTCCTCCATTCGCGACCCTGTCGGACAGGATGAAGTACAGCTTGCTCACCGTCAGACGCAGGGTGCAGCTCTTGGCTAATTTCGCGATCGTGTTAATGACACCTGGCGGGGGGAACAGCAGAGGGAACAGCTGTGCACCACGGCGGCAGGGGAGAAACACAAACACACACACACACACACACACACACACGTGCACGCACGCGCACACACACCCCGCAGCCCTTCCTCTTCCGTGCCCTCGCGAAGGGCAGCCCGCTCAGCCGCGGCACGGCCCATCCCGCACCCTGGGCCCGGCAGACTCACGGCTGAAGTGGTTGAGACAGGCGAGATCCACGATCTTAGCCCTAAAGCGCATAGCGACAAGCGGCAACGCCACGCAACGCCGCTCCGGCTGCGCGGCTACGGGCGGGGACGAGGCCTTGCGCCGGCGGGAAGCGAGGGTCGGGCGGAAAGCCCGGAGGGGGCGGAGCGTTGTGCAGCAGTACAGCCTGGGAAAGAGCGGTTTCTGGCCACAGCCCTACGCGAGGAGCAACCATTTCAGCCACCTTGCGCTGTGTGGAAGCGACGCCTGGAAATTAATTGAGTCTTCAGCAAACCGACGTTCTGTCTGGGGAGCGTTGTTTTCCTGGACAAGCAGGACGTGTCAGTTCTGGAAGCGGAGTCTTAACGCCCCGCGAGCAGTGAGGAGGTGCGATCGTACAGGCACCGTAACAAGGTGGATGTGATAATTAGAAGCTTGGCCACAAGCCGGTTTTTTAATAAATAATTTCTCCATCAAATATGGGATCTGACCTACTAGCACACAACTTTTGTGTAGACAGCAACTCCCAGTGGAATTCAATGACCACCTAAGATCCCTTGCAAGAAGCACGTATTAACACAGTGCAGGCGTAATATTAGATTTTAATATGTATAGCAGTTCTAGGAATAAGCAAGCACTTCATAGAAATGGTATGAATACTCACACGTTGGGTGTATACCACCTGTGCCACCCCCCCACACCCGGTGCTGCAGTGCAGTAATGTCGGCATTAGGGTTAGTGAGTTCAATTCCCAGATTTCTGTGACAGAAACCGTTGCAAAATCTGCCTGTGTAGAATCACACAGAAGTGAAGCCTTGTCAGTTGCTTTTCCAAACACTGATAGTAACCCAACGTGAAGATCAAAGAGCTTGCCTCAGGGCAGAATTTCCTCTCCGGAACTAAAGGCTCCACATCTGGATGCAGTGCTCCAGCTGAGGCCGCACCAGGGCAGAGCAGAGGGGCAGATTCACACTTCTAAGCAACTACGGCCAATGATCAAGCCCAGACTGGGCAAGGGCAGGAGTTCATTGCAATGTTAAGACCTATGGGCTGGTACAAAATGATGAAGGGTGGAGATTGTAATTGTTAAGCTTTTACATTTTCGTAACCCATCATTTAAGTTTCCTGTTACAGAAACTTTATAACTGGAACTCCTTGTTGCCAGCTGAGCCAGAGGCAAGGCGAGGAGCTCATTACAATGTTAATTACTGTAGACTGGTCCGAAGCCAACAGGGAAGAGATTATAATGCTTATACCTATTGATTGTTGTAACCTGTGACCTGAGTCACATGATATAGGAAGTCCTATAGCAGGTACCATACAAGCCAGCAGAAAAATAAGTGTCATAAGAAGGAGTGCAAATACAGATGTGGCCTGACCTAGTCATAGTTTCCATGGAAATAAATAGGAAGCATTACTTTTGGAGCAACCTTTGTGTACGCAGCCCCAGGCAAGCCGAAAGTTCAGATGCTCATGATGGTATAGAACATTCAACTTCATTTTTACTCCTGCTGCCAATGCTGCTACCATCATTACCTTCAGTGAGAGCTGGAGTTGATAAGCACTGTGATTTTTACAGCTCTTCGGAGCCTGACTCTACCAATGCAGTCATCCCAGGCATCTGAAAGATTCTTTCCTCTGAAGTGAAACCATGCAGAGATGCACTTTTTTTTTCCCTCCTTTTTGTTAAGATCACAGCATTGTTTTGGGGGGAATGTGCCTCTTATTGTGCCTTTGAATTCCTATTGGAAACCCTCCAATGTCTGTTGTTTTTTTTTTTCTCCCATAATAAAGAATGTATATTACATGTCAGTCATCCCAATAGAGATTATTTTGGCAAACAAACACTATTATATTAAAGTGTAGTCAGACTAAGAACTTGCTTCTATAGATAGATAAGCAAGAATGTAATTTCTTTAGAAACAACATACCCATACATTTTGTATAAAACGTATATTGACACAAACTATACAACTTAGAATTTGTATTTTACAAAAAACAATTTTTGAACTATCAATACCAGCTATTCCAATCCATGATTTTACATTTCCAATGAACATTCAGAAACATTAGCGAATTGGTCTTACTTCTTTAGTCTTTCTTTATCAAGAAGTCTAGAATAAGAAGCATAACATTCAAGAGAGGTTCTTATTAAATTGCATTCACATCAGAAACAGTAGGTTTAGACAATCTGAAGTAGATGCAAAAAAACAAACTGGAAAAGCAGAATAAGCTAAAGCTGGTGTCTAAATTTAATGTATGATGCATCAGGCATTGGTACTATAAGCAATACCAAAAACAGCATGCACACTCTGTTGAAGACAGCAGCATCTAAGTGAAACAGAACATCAAGAAGGAAAGAATTTCTCTTTCTTTAAAGAGCTATCTGCTAAGGCAGAACATCCAGGAAAAAGGGTGGGAGTGTGTGGCTCATGAAGCGACTGGGAAACTGTTTATAGGACCAATAAACAGAACCTGATCCTCAGGTGCCAGAACGACTTACAAGATCCAGAAGAAATTGAAATGCTGCAACTGAAAGACACTGAACTGACTGAGGACAATCCCACTGAAAACTCTTCCCCTCAAATTAGTACTTATTTTAACTAGAAACAACAGTGTGTTACTTGAAAAGACCAACAAGAACATAAGAAGTGTCTGCTTCTTTTATTACGGACGATATAAAAATGCAGGGTGTAGTGAAGCTATCATTAGAAGTTTAAACTTCTTCTGAACCAACTTTCTATTTACATTCACAAAATTCCCCAAGTGGAACAATATCAAATGTAAAAAACACATTATCAGGATATACCATATATACAAGTTCAGAGATTTCATATCTCTGTTACTCTATCAGTGACTGTAACACAAGTTCTACCTCCTTTACACAAGTATTTAATATTAAGTTGATGAAATTACTCAAGGAAAATAAAGCAGAATCTGGGCAAAATTCTGCTATCTGAACAGCTACTTTACAAATATAATACAAAATAATAGAGCCAAGTTTCAGCCAAGCTCAATCTTCTGCTGTAGTGAAATGCCCATGCTTCAAATTGAAATAACTACTGATCATTATTGACATTAAGCCAGAAATATCTTGGAAATCAAAACCATACTGGCTTTCAAGATCACTAATGAGTTATTTGGAAATGCAAGCCTTTTTGCTTCTTTTAAAACTCCGCCCTCAAGCAAAAAAGCCAAATAAAACAGTTGAGCTTGCTTTGTATGACCAGACATTCTTTTAAGAAGAAGATACCACTTTGTATTGCTCTTATCTGGAACCAATTTCTGCTTAGTAAAGTAAGGCACTTCTTCAGACAGGACCATTTAACTATGTTTTAGGGTAGGTACACAAAGAACTGATTTCAGCTAAGCGTCTTGTGACCGCAAAAGGGATGCTGTTAAGAGCCGTTGCTCTCCAAGCATGGATGGCCCCAACAATACCAGCTGGATTGCTTGAACCCAAGTCACACAGCGAATATATGGCCGCCAGCTGCACGCCCCATGGAACATCTGCAAAAAGGTAACACAAATTAGCTTCTATCAACTTGAATATGCAGCAGTGCTGGGGGGAAACTGTTAGTTCAAAAACTGGAATAAAAACATTAACAGTTGAGATATCTACAGCCTGAAAGTAGCAAGAAGACAATCTGCACAACAATTCCTTAACATCCTATTTTTATACTTGCACTTCCCAGTTCTCTGAATTCAGTGTGGTTTTAGTATTCAATGGACACAAAGGATTTGAGCACCCAGTAATTGTAATCTAGTTCAGGGTGATTAAACTGTGTGAAAACAAACAGATTTATACAGAGACAGAAAAAGAATTACAGATGTGTCCATCCACTTACGTGGAAAAGCCTGAGACTCAAGAGAGAAGCTGCAGGTTAAATAATTCCTTCACAGCAGTGAACGTTTCACTGCAAAATGAACTTAATATCCAGAATAACTTAGTACTGCACATCTCTGCTGCTCTTTCTGTCTCACTTTGTCTCAGTCAAGAATTTAGAACAGTATGAGCTGTTCAGGTAGCAAACTAACTATTCTTGCTTGTGTCAAAATGTACTCTGAAGCAGCTGGTACATTAGGTGAAACAGAATAATTTCAAGTTGTCTCAAAATAGCTCCAAGTAGCTCCCTGACTGAAAAAAATATTAATAGCCAGGCTTCATTATCTTTGGAAGAGCCAAGGACTCAAACTGAAACCTGTCTGTTCTGTTCCTTACTAACATAAAATTGCACAAGCAGGCTCTTCTGGCATAAATGTCCTAATTTGTGCTCATTCTGTTTATTGCAGATTTTATATTAAAGTTCTTCTGAACATTACCTTCCTCTTTTGCATGCTGTACAAACAGTCCAATTACAGAACTAATATTCTTCACAGCAGAAAGATATCCTTCCTTCAAACCTATTTGTCCCAGTCGACCTGAAAAAACAACAACAAAAAAATAGCAACAAAATAAAAACCCAAAAACCTCCCTCTTGTTACTGTGTCTGTCTTGGGATCAACAGTTGTCCTCTTCTGACTACAGATCCCAAGGTATTTTTCATACAGTTTGAAAGAATAGACTCTTGAAGAATGCAACTTTTGTTAAATATTATGTAACTAAAAAAATCTGCTGGAACAAAGTTAATCTATTTATGCTGAACACCATCTAGAGAGTAAATTAAGGAATTTAACAAGTGATAAAGCCTTATTTTATATACTTTGTTATAAAAACATACAGCTACAAGGATATGTTTTCATTTTAAATACGTAAAATATATTGATATTTACTATCATGAAAACATGAAAACATAGTAACATCTCTCAGAACCTAAATACATGCTTTTCACAGGATGACAAACAGAAAACACTCACATGAGATTGTAACAATTTGTCTTTTAAGGTGAAAATTTTTCGAGGAAATAAAAAAAATCAAAAAAAAAAAAAAAAAAGCAAAAATACTTTCCATGCTGAACTGACATTTTTCAAGGACATACATTAAGCAGAAGTTCAAAGAAAAATTTAGATTACTTACCAATTAGCCTGAGTGTCAATGCTATAATACTATCAGGAACTGATTGTGCAGTTTCATGGTCTTTTCTCTTCTTTATCCATTTATCCATAGAAGGCCAAAGCACTTTGCTGTGAAAGATGAATTAATTTGAAAATTTGATACTGCATGAGGGCGTGGTATTTATACAATAACAAATGATTCTTCTGCTTATTACAGATTTCCCTAACTCCATTTATATCTTTAATTCATAGAATCATAAACTCCTAGAATGGCCTGGGTTGAAAAGGACCACAATGCTCATCTAGTTTTAACCCCCCTGCTATGTGCAGAGTTGCCAACCAGCAGACCAGGCTGCCCAGAGCTACATCCAGCCTGGCCTTGAATGCCTCCAGGGATGGGGCATCCACAGCCTCCTTGGGCAACCT